GGGCGGGGATACTGGCCCGCTGAGTTCCCTGACACGTCCCTAGTTATGAAGCTGTGCGATTTTTTCGGGCTAAGTTCCCTGACACGTCCCTAGTTATGAAGCTGTTGGAGGTTGTCGGGCGGGGATACTGGCCCGCTGAGTTCCCTGACACGCCCCTAGTTATGAAGCTGTGGGATGTTGTCGGGCTGAGTTCCCTGACACGCCCCTAGTTATGAAGCTGTGGGAGGTTGTCGGGCGGGGATACTGGCCCGCTGAGTTCCCTGACACGCCCCTAGTTATGAAGCTGGGGGAGGTTGTCGGGCGGGGATTGCACGCCAGAGACCCAGCACCTACGAACGTGACCCGCTTTGCCGGAATGGCGGTCGACACCACGAACAACCATGAGCAGGTTAAGCAACAGTATGCCATCAAGGTGTCGTGCATGTATCGTCCAACATGGTGCACACACCAAATATTGATCTCCACGCCCCAAATTAATTTTATAGACATTTATAATGTTATTACACCCTCACTTTCATTTCATTAGTTCCCTTATTGTTGTCGGTAGTGTACACACTAGTGACATTTAGATAGACGGATGGGTTGATTGATTGAAAACACCAGTTGATCGTGAAAATGGTAAGTATACCCCGTTGCACTTGTAATCTCCACTAGTTAATTCTCATCATAAAAGTGTCTTTTCAATATGTTTGTGATGCATATTGAAGTCATTCAGCTTTCACTGTAACCACCTTGCATTATTCACCATGGTTTCTAAGTTTCAAATCATACGAACCCAAGGAGAACATTAATTTGCAAAAAGCAAAGGTACATGTTTCTTAATGTTTCCATGACATACCTCAATCAACATCAGGTATGAGATCATTTACGATATATTATGTTGAGATAATAGCAATTTTGCATATGTGTTGACATATATCACCTCTGCAAGGTTTGTATAGTTTGTAAATCTTAGCGGAGATCTTGAAATAGCAGCATATAAGTGTGCTTCCCCAGGAATATGAAACTACCAAATACCTTCGTTTAATGATTTGTGCACCTCTCCTCAGCAGGGCCACTTCGTCCACAGGACCATCCTCCATCTTGGCAACGACATCCTGCAGCTGGTCAACCAATCCACCTCGTTCACCGCCACCTCTAATACTGGCGTTGACACCATAGAGAAAGGCGATCATAATGAGTACCATGTATCGCATTTTGCTGAAATGAATACATGTCTGAGTTGTTAAACTATGGAATCCTAGAAGTAGTAAACCTAACTACAAGCATTGAATGATCTTGTTAAACAATTAAACAAATAAAAGCAATACAACCCTTTCAAAAATCATATGAAATCTCTGCTAAAAATAGAGCCTGTTTTATGATTTCGACTATATACGAATGTGTTGATGAATCACTACTAATTTGAAATAACTTCAATTGTATTATTGACCAAAACAGAAAGAAAAATTAACTGATCATGATACAACATAAAAAATACTTAAACTTACAAAATAACTCGAAACAAAGCCCTTTCCATAATCATAAAATGAATTCTGTGAAAACATAGGAGATATTTACAAGAGACACAAAATCTTACCTTGTTAGTTGATTGCAGTTCTTCAGAAGGATGAATAGTTTCCAGTAGTATTTATACACCGCGGAACATGTCATTATTTATGCAGTCGTTACATTTTCACATCACAATATATTATAACTTACACTATGGTGATAACGTTATTAAACTAGTCAGTCAATATTATTAATATATGCAATCTCGCATCGCATTTTCAATCATATATATTCAACTTGCATGCATTTCTTTTCATAAACAGCAATGTTTTCCGTTTGAACGCCACATCAGTCATGCTTGTTCTCTAAAGACCATTCATCAACGAAACAGAGTGAATGTTGAATATCAGATATATTACATGTATCTTTTCTAAAGAACTTTGATGTCGTTATCGAATTTCAGTAGTATTATTATTATGAAAAGAATAGTAAATTATGTAGCGTTTATGGAATTTCACAAATTATTGCAACGCTGTTGCAGTACTCCAGGCTTGCTATGCTTATTGTCGCAAACCATAATAGATTGATGACATCTGACTGATATACATCTAACTTGTTGTGTGAGAGTAATTTGACTGCCTTTGATTCATTGTGAGTATAGCTTTGATCCTATTGAAAGCAATGAAATAACAGAAATATTGATAACTTTGTCACTAACATCACGGCTTGCTTAATGCATCTGACGACATCGAAATATTGATTGGGTTTGTTGTTTTACGCCGCAACTAGCAATATTCTAGCTATATGACGGCAGTCTGTAAATAATCGAGTCTGGACCAGACAATCTAGTGATTAATATAATGAGCATCGATCAATGCAGTTGGGATCGATGACATGCATCAACCAAGTAAGCGAGTCTGACCACCTGATCCCGTTAGTCGCCTCTTACGACAATTATAGTCACCTTTTATAGCAAGCACGGGTTGCTGAAGACCTATTCTACCCCGGATCTTCACGGTCCCGAAATATTGAAACATTACTGGAGAAACACATCTTAGCCTCAGGTTATACATAAATGTATAATTTGCTGGAAATACCAGATGTTATGAAATAAAAGTGTAATAAAAGCTCAAATAGAAAAAAGACTTAGGGTCTGGAACCAGTGACCGATAAAATGTCCTGTCGTTAAAAACAAATCCATATTGATTCAATTGACGGTAGACGAAAAGTTCAGCAACGAGAGTGATCACATGTAATTACACGGGATCGGGTGGTCAGGCTCGCTGAGTTGATCGATGCATGTCATCATATCCCAATTGCGTGGATCGATGCTCATGATGTCAATCACTGGATTGTCTGGTCCAGAATCGATTATTTTACAGACCGCCGTCATATAGCTGGAATATTGCTGAGTGCGGCGTTAAACAACAAACAAACAAACATCGTATAGCGTATATCGTCGTTAACTTATTAGACTCATTTATCAGAGCTTATTTTTTCAGTAACGATCATAACAGTGTCTGTTATAACGGGGCTGCTATTCCTCGGATTAATGATCCTACTGCTCGCACTGCTGTGTCGAAGGTAGGTCGCCAAACACTAAGCCTCAATGTAGTTAGAAAAGAGTAACAAGTATTTATTAGAAGAATATAATCAGAAAGTGATTAGAAGTTGTTTTATTAAAGTATGTATTGCGTTGTCATTTATCATCCAAAACTGGCTCCCACGGAAGATATCACTTGGATGAGATCAATGATATTACATCACAATGCTTTGCAGACCATTGTGACGTCATTGGTTACCATGCACTTGTGACCATGTGACTATGCACTTCGTAAGGGGCGACTAATGTAATCTGGAGGTAGACCTCGCTGACATGGTTGATGCATGTCATAGTATCCCAATTGCTTGAATCGATGCTCATGATGTCAATAACTGAATTGTCTGGATTATTTACAGAACGCCGTCATATAGCTGGAACATTCCCGTGTGCGGCGTTAAAGGACAAACAAACATTCTTTTAACTCATGCAACGTTACGATGAATAACAGTATATTTTAGTCGTCAGTTGAGCATGAAAAATGTTGACACCTGTCGCCTTTGGTTTCCAGAGAGATTCCAGGGGATACTTCAAAGGTTTCGAGGGTTTTTTTCGTTCTTTATTCATGTCGACATATCGGGAAGTTCCAATCAAACACTGTTGATTTCTTTGAACCCCAACACACGAATGAGTAAGCGATTCACATTTTCCTATTTCCTGTTTCAGATATCCTTTCGCATTTCGGTCGAAGTCAAGATCCACGAATTCCTCTCGACTAGGGACGGATTCTGACACGCTGAAAATCCCTCGTCCGTTTGTTGCATATTTGCCTTTTTACTACACCCCATATTCAACATAGCGGAGCGCCTACTACGCAGATATGCCCATGTATTACTATAACAATGGCTATGTATTTGAAGGGGATGAATCGGTAAAGGGCCCATTGTAGGCAATTTACCAACACACTTGCGATTGTGATGACGGAACCTAAAGGTAAGCAATGTTATCAAGCAAGGACAGAGGTGATACGCTGATGGACTGGGTTATCAGCAACACCCTATTCACGTTGGGATACATTTTGTGGCGACACCGGTAATTTTTCATGAAGTAACTGATATGGTGTCGTCGGTGTCTTATTGTGACATCATATATATGATGAATGCATTTTGACGTCATTGACATGATGGTCCGAATTCATTATGACGTCATCGCACAGTAGGGACGTCAAAAATAGTGATTCCATTCTGCGGACCAGCTCGATATTGAAAAGAAGCGGGCGTGATGGAGACGGGAATGACGTAACGGACGTGAATTCTGAGCAAAAAAACGGAAGCATATCCTGCGCGGAAACGGAAGTGTATCATGCGCAGTACCGGAAGTGTTTCGTCGGTATCACAAACAAACAATTTCCTTTTACACAGACGATTGTGTGAGGTGCCGATTGGGAAATGGGGTGAATGTTGATCAGTGTTGATTGACAGTGTTGATGATGCTATCCTTGAACTGTGAATAGGACGTCAATGTGAAGTGAATCTTTAGCTTGTTATATGCATGATACTTGCCACTCCCTCTGCATTTTGTGATGATGGAATAACTACCAGCTCACACAGTGAGACATGAATGACTACCAAGTGGACATGTGGTGCGGTGTTTATGTGACTGATTCAGATGGCAATGAAACAAGTGTTATTCTCCTCAGCAAAAAAATCCTCCTTGGAATGTATATATAAATATACACGTGGATAAGTTAAGCACCGCTAGCTATACATTTTCATATAAAATACTTATAGTCATTTGTTAAAATCAAACCACATTTGCTTTTGTTAACAATGTAACTATTTAAATATATCATGGGCTCATTAGTTTCGATGTTCATTCAGCGCACAGTACTGACGTCACGTATAGTGTTCCAAGAGTAACTTCAAGTTAACAAGTGTATAATTAAAGGATATATGACAGTTTGAACACATGAAGACAATGAATCTTTAATAACAAAGCATGATATTCATGACATCACAGTCTGATGTGTGTTTGTATGACGTCAAGGGTATCTTGGCCTCATTTCCATTTCATTATGACGTCAGCGCACAGTACTGACGTCACATAGAGTGATTCCTTTTGGCTGTCTAGCTCGGTATTGGATCAGGAGGTAACGGTGCAAATCCATGTCTTGAACGATGTAACGGAAGTGCATCCTGCAAAATATAAATATTAAAATCTTAGAAAGGCATTTACAAGTGAAACACGTAAAGAAGAGAATTAATAGATGTCGAACTCTTTTTTATGAGGAACACAACGTTTCGGAGTATGTGCTAACTCCTTCATCATGCACCTGGAGTTGACATCCGTATTTTTTTCTTCCTCAATAACGAACGTGTATAATGCGCAGAAACGGAAGTTAATGACACACTATTTCTTGTTATATTTATATGATAATTACATCATGATGTACATGGTTATATGATGAACGGTTTGGAAAGTGATGTGTATTTTCAACAACTTTAATGAACATGGCCGATGAGTCTGACCTTGTACTGTAAATAGGAAATTGTATCCTACTGTGTTTGTTATAACAAACCACATTTGTTTTTGTTTACATGTTCATATTGAAATATAGAACCCGCAATCGGCTCTCTAGTGACATGCGCACCGCGACAGGAACTGCTTCACTGCCCTTTCATTTTGCTTCCACTGCTTCTCTGCGTAATATGAGATGACGCAGTACTTCAGACCACCGGGAGGAACATAGTGTTCACACAGGTGTTGATGATACCTTGAACATTTTTCAATATGAGATCAATGTAGGTATTTCAAAAGTACAGTAAACTACGGTTATAACGAACTCAAATGGACCACTAATTTTAGTTCGGTTTAACCGTAGTTCGTTATAAGCATATATAAAACATCTATACAGCAAATGACCGGGACCAGAATAAAGTTCGTTATATCCGTCAGTTCGTTATAAGCGTGTTCGTTATAAACGTATTTTACTGTATTCATATCTACAAGTGCTTAACATTTTTACAGATGTATATTTAAATCATGTCTTTATTTCCGTTTTGGATATGGAACAGACGCCCTACTAATTTATGGTTTGTGTTCCCATTTACGTTTGGGTGGGGTCGGGTCGAATACGTTGTTTATTTTGAGAAAGAGATTTTACTGTATTTGTATTACGTATTGGAGCTTTGAGTGTGTTGTGGGACAGGTGCCTACACGCTGATATTAAACAGGAGCTGATGTGTGCAATACAGGCGGCCCAACACCCATCTACGTGGATCTAGTCTCATGTGTTTTTCATGATTTGTTTATGGTGCCTTTTTATATTGTCTCCTGGCTTTGGGTAGATATACATGTCCATTCATGCATTTCTTATTATGTACCATTTTCACATTATTCACGTTTTGTCAGGATTTTTTGTCAGAGTTTCAGTTTTTAATCAATTCTGTTTTTTTAATAAATAAGTTTCCATATGTTTCATTAAAAATACCCTCGATTATCCTCATTCAATTATGATACGTACCCTGGACCCATTCAATTAGCTTCATTTTTAGTCTGATTAGAATCGCAGGAGGCTGAAGATAGTGTCCAATCAAATTACTCTCATGAGCAAGAAATATTCTGTGATCAGTGAGAATCACCCTCAAAGATACACCCTGATACACAGCCACGAATCTCCCACACAGAAACACCCTGATACAGCCACGAATCTCCCACACAGAAACACCCTGATACACAGCCACGAATCTCCCATACAGAAACACCCTGATACAGCCACGAATCTCCCAAACAGAAACACCCTGATACAGCCACGAATCTACCACACAGAAACACCCTGATACAGCCACGAATCTCCCACACAGAAACACCCTGATACAGCCACGAATCTACCACACAGGAACACCCTGATACAGCCACGGATCTCCCACACAGAAACACCCTGATACAGCCACGAATCTCCCACACAGAAACACCCTGATACAGCCACGAATCTACCACACAGGAACACCCTGATACAGCCACGAATCTCCCACACAGAAACACCCTGATACAGCCACGAATCTCCCACACAGAAAAACCCTGATACAGCCACGAATCTCCCAAACAGAACCACCCTGATACATAGCCACGAATCTACCACACAGGAACACCCTGATACATAGCCACGAATACACCACACAGAAACACCCTGATACAGCCACGAATCTCCCAAACAGAAACACCCTGATACAGCCACGAATCTCCCAAACAGAAACACCCTGATACAGCCACGAATCTACCACACAGAAACACCCTGATACAGCCACGAATCTCCCAAACAGAAACACCCTGATACAGCCACGAATCTACCACACAGGAACACCCTGATACAGCCACGAATCTCCCACACAGAAACACCCTGATACAGCCACGAATCTACCACACAGGAACACCCTGATACAGCCACGAATCTCCCACACAGAAACACCCTGATACAGCCACGGATCTCCCACACAGAAACACCCTCATACAGCCACGAATCTCCCACACAGGAAAACCCTGATACATAGCCACGAATCTACCACACAGAAACACCCTGATACAGCCACGGATCTCCCAAACAGAAACACCCTGATACAGCCACGGATCTCCCAAACAGAAACACCCTGATACATAGCCACGAATCTCCCACACAGGAAAACCCTGATAGATAGCCACGAATCTACCACACAGAAACACCCTGATACATAGCCACGGATCTCCCACACAGAAACACCCTGATACAGCCACGAATCTCCCACACAGAAACACCCTGATACAGACACGGATCTCCCAAACAGAACCACCCTGATACATAGCCACGAATCTCCCACACAGAAACACCCTGATACACAGCCACGAATCTCCCATACAGAAACACCCTGATACAGCCACGAATCTCCCAAACAGAAACACCCTGATACAGCCACGAATCTACCACACAGAAACACCCTGATACAGCCACGAATCTCCCACACAGAAACACCATGATACAGCCACGAATCTACCACACAGGAACACCCTGATACAGCCACGGATCTCCCACACAGAAACACCCTGATACAGCCACGAATCTACCACACAGGAACACCCTGATACAGCCACGAATCTCCCACACAGAAACACCCTGATACAGCCACGGATCTCCCACACAGAAACACCCTCATACAGCCACGAATCTCCCACACAGGAAAACCCTGATACATAGCCACGAATCTACCACACAGAAACACCCTGATACAGCCACGGATCTCCCAAACAGAAACACCCTGATACAGCCACGGATCTCCCAAACAGAAACACCCTGATACATAGCCACGAATCTCCCACACAGGAAAACCCTGATAGATAGCCACGAATCTACCACACAGAAACACCCTGATACATAGCCACGGATCTCCCACACAGAAACACCCTGATACAGCCACGAATCTCCCACACAGAAACACCCTGATACAGACACGGATCTCCCAAACAGAACCACCCTGATACATAGCCACGAATCTCCCACACAGAAACACCCTGATACATAGCCACGAATCTACCACACAGAAACAAAGGAGGAGGTTACGTCACTTCTTGAATGGGTCAAGGTATTCCTAAAAATAGAAATGGAGATGTAATACTCTCGAAAAAAAATAAGCCGTATCTTAAAGAAGCAAGACAGATAATTTTGTGAGATTTGGCTTCTTGCTTCTTACTGACATTCAGCATTTATACTTCGTTATATTTTGTTTATATTTTGTATCCTTCAAACATTGTATTCATTGCAACAAGATCATGGAAACAAATCACTTATCTCTGTGAACATTATGTAGACGATGAACGAATATATCTGTACCAACATTTCGTCTTTCATTTGTGGATGAATGTATGCCACTTTAAATAAAACCGTGTAAATTAAATGGAGAAATAAAGTTTTATATGATTTCATGAATTCTTCTTGCATGCTACTCGATATTTTATTTTATTGATAAAACATGTAGCCGAAATAGGTATATGTGGGGTCCCTCACAACATATCAGCAGCTGATCTCTTAATCTGTTATTGTCATATGATATGTTGGCGTAGAAATAAGTGTAGTATTCCCAATGTAATATGTATCATGTAGAATGAGTGAGTGAGTGAGTATGGTTTTACGCCGCTTTTAGCAATATTCCAGCAATATCACGGCGGGGGACACCAGAAATGGGCTTCACACATTGTAACCACGTCGGGAATCGAACCCGGGTCTTCGGCGTGACGAGCGAACGCTGTAACCACTAGGCTACCCGACCGCCCCGTATCATGTAGAGACAGAGCATCTAACATTCCGGAGAGGGTGGATATCATCGTTAATCCTTTGTTAAACAAGTATTGTGACGTCACGATATTGTTCTTCTTACCAGTGATTGTGAGTCAGGAAATCATTTGCCATTCTGATCGTGCATTTTATACACGTAAATTGACGCAAATATAGGACATTATGCAAAACTACAGAGGAGTTTTATATCAACTATAACAATCGCAGAAATAATTTGATCCCGGAAGTAGAACAAGCCCCATTACAGACTTACTAAAGTTTTAAACAGAGATCAGTAGGAAATAATACTGTGTACATGTTTTCCTTGTGCTTAACACTCCAAAAATAAAATTGTTACATAAGTTAAAAAATGTTAAATTGAATGCGATCTACAGGTATCCCACTTCTACATATTATGTTCATATAAATTTATTAGGATGAAATTAAACTCGAACGTTTTGGGTATTAGCGAAAACAGTAAGTAGAGCAGCTCCAGTGTAACAAATGCCTCAGGACGTGGTCAATTCGCTGTGTTTACTGAAGATGCTTTCATTTTGTACAGCGAAAGAAAATTAACTTTTCAAGATGTAGTTCTTTACAGCACGTCACGGCCCATTGTGACGCAAGCGATATGACCCCACGCTGCCCTTTTGACCACACTGCTGGATATAGTAAATGCCACGTCTAAAGCCCTTATCCTCCTTGGGTATTTCTAAATGTGTTGAGGGGCGGTCGGGTAGCCTAGTGGTTAAAGCGTTCGCTCGTCACGCCGAAGACCCGGGTTCGGATCCCGACATGGGTACAATGTGTGAAGCCCATTTCTGGTGTCCCCCGCCGTGATATTGCTGGAATATTGCTAAAAGCGGCGTAAACCATACTCACTCACTCACTCACTAAATGTGTTGACTTGCATGGTTTTTTCAAGGTTTGACGTAGCTTGAAATCTTAGTCAAAGCATCGTTGTACATCTGAACATTTTAGTCTTTTCAAAGAATTACAAAGTATATACAAGGCCTATATTACCATTTTTCGCAGTGTATGACTAATGGGCTATTGGTGGCAATGCAGTTTCGGGGATCTTGAAAATAACGAAATAAAAGTGAGCTTCCCCAGGGAAATGTAACTCCCAAATACTTTCGTTTTATGCTGCGTGCACAGTTTCATCCTCCACCTTGGCAAGAGGGGGCACGGGTGGCCCAGTCGTCTAAGGCGCCACGATTCGCTGTGCAGAGTTGCGTCCCTTGGGCACGCCAGAAACCTATGATTGTGTGTTCGAATCCCGGTTTGCCCCGATTATGTTTCTAGGTTTATCAGCACCCGTGCTCGTGGGTTTCACCGAAGTGGTAAACGTCTGAAACCTGCATCACTTCGGGCTTTCCTCCCACATTAAGCACACCGCGATATGACTGGAAGAATGTTAAAAGCGGCGTTAAACCCAACTCACTCACTCTTGGCAAGAACAACGTCCTGCACCTGATCAAGCAATCCACCTGCTTGTCCACCGACAACTCTACCACCATCATTGATACCATAGACAATGACGATCTATATGAATTTTTTTTTGATGAAATGTCCAAATGTTTGAGTTGTTAAACCAGATTGTACACGTTTTAATGATCTGGAATACAATCAAACAAAACAAAAAGTCACAAAACCGTTTTGATAATCATAAGAAATCTCTGCTATGAGTATAACCTGCTGTATGATTTCGACTATCTCAAACTTGTTTATTAATCACTATTAATTAATAATTATTACTATCGTATTATTGCCTAGAACGGAAAAAAATATGTAATACAGCATAGAAAAATATTTTACTGAAAAAAATGGAAGACACAAAACCCTTTCCATAATCATAATAGAAATTCTGTGAAAATACAGGCTAGTTTTACAAGAGATCTTCGTAAATTTTAAAAGAGCGAATTCTAAATTCATTTATTTCATAATTTCGTTAGTTTATTTTTAGTTTATAATAAAATAACAGATTCACACAAATCAATTTTGTGTCCCCATAATACCTTTACCTGTACACGTACACTGGTTCTTCATGTGTTTCAAGTGAAACATATATACAAAATATATCCAAATATAATACACTACCTGGATATAAGACCAGCAATAAGCGGGATAAAGTCAAAGCCCTCACCACAAACCTCAAAGACTTCAGACCCTTGAAGATTCGGGGTAGAATAGATCTTCAGCAACCCATGCCATAAAAAGCGACTATGCTTGTCGTAAGAGGCGACAAACGGGATCGCATGGTCAGGTTCGCTGACGTGGTTGATGTATGTCATCGTATCCCAATTGCGTAGATCGAAACTCATGTTGTCAATCACTGGATTGTCTCGTCCAGACTCGATTATTTACAGACCGCCGTCACATAGCTAGTATATTGCTGCGTGCGGCGTTAAACAACAAACAAACAAACACACCTGGATATGACTTCAAGCCATTGAATCGTTTTCTACTCGAAATACTCTTTTTACAATAACTTTGAAATTACACCAAAAGGTCATTCCAATGTATTTGACCTGTTTCTAGCTAAAAAAACCGCCTCAAATGACTCAATTTGTATGAGAAAAGAATATAAAAAATCAAATTGCTGAGCACAAATATTTTATTTTTGGGAATATTCCAAATATGTGTACACTATGCTTTGCTGCAATATGGACGACATTGATCTTTCATTTTTTCCGTTTTTGAATCTGCATTCTGGAACAGAAGAAAGTGACTTACAAAAACCAAATAAAAGCATTAAGAGCAAACAAATAGTTATACATCTTAGCTTGTTAGTCTGATATCTGTGCGATGAATGTATTAATGAATTCAAGAGAAAATGGTAAATAAGGTCAAAGTTTAAAATATTGCAAAAAGAGGAATGTATGCGTTAAATCCCACAACTAACTAACCACATATCAAATGTCATTACAGTTTGTACAAATTGACAGATTTTTGGCCATAGATATATTTGTTTCCATATGATAGGAGTAGTATAGGTAGTGGTGATTCTGGCTCACTTCCACTGGAGTCAGATTTATATACCTATACCGCTACTACAGATGAATTCTTTTACGTCAAAATGATGATGCGATTCAACGATCGTCATGACAATAAACTAAATTGTAATGAAAATATTCTCTATTATTTTAACTCATACGCATACCCTTATTTTGAACAAAGAGATATTCAACATTTTTACTAAGTTCTTCGGGTTTTTTACCAGGAGACCAGACTATATTCTCTTCTTGGTAATTGGAAAGAAACAATTGATGACTGTATTTGGTTGGTTTGACATCACTGATATAATATATACCCTGTGGTAATTCTCTCCATTTGATAATTTTGTCCCTGAATAAATGCTTTGATATCTTTTTCGAGTTCTTCTCTCCATTATTATATACTTATGTAAGCATTCGTTTAAATGTGATCCAACGATAGGAAACAATCTATTTTTAATCTCCAACAAGTTCTTTGGTTTGGGCACGGAATAATTGACGCGCTTGTTGTCTCCCCTGTTCTATGAACTTTTTTTTCTAGTCTTCACTAATACCACTGGTCTTACGAGAATTTGGTCGAATCTCCTGCTTCATTGCGTTGTATTTGGTGAGTTCTGTCAGCACTAAACAAAACTCCTCCTCGGATATCTTACAATCAGCCAGTGCTGTTGAAATATGATCCTCATTGCTGTTCAACTTTGCTTCAGCGAGTATCCAAATATTATCATGTTTTAATGCTTTCTTTTGCAACTGACGAGAAATGAATTTTATCGCTATTCCTGCCAGTCCTGAGACTCCGGCGGCTATTTCCATGCCAAGTACGATAGGTTTTGGCGATTATAGTTGATAATAATCAAACAGCAGCTACACCGAGTCCCATGCTAGCCGTTACAAGCGCAGTGTCAACTCCGTCGAGAGCATTCACGGCTCTGCAATACTTTTTATACAATCCAAGTCTCAACTCCCTATCCTTCTCTATTCGTTGTTTTATGTCGCTTATTTGATGTAATCGAAATCCATCAACAGTATCCACCTTTTCAAATGCTTCATCGAGCGCAGGATATAAACACATAGTTTATATTATTATATCATATGATAGTCTTTAATTGGTCTTGCTTCAATGTTCTGAGAGTGTACATCAGCCTTATTAAATGTATATTATACGGCATAAATATCTTAGTGAGAGAAATGCTGTCACTTTTAATAATTTGGACCCCCTCAATGGTTGCAACGGGTGATGCTCCCATATAAATAATACTGCAACGTTGACGGTTGTGATTCTTGAGCCATTTAATCGATAGACCTGGTAATATTTCGAAGGCATCTTCTGGTGCATATCCAAACAAGACTTCAATAATATGCATAGAAAGATTAGGTATTGCACTCAAGTTATCTTTAATATCATTGAATTCAGTAACCAAATTTAAACTAACGTTTTTTACTTACGGACAATTAAATAACATATGACCTGGGTTTTCTGGCAGGGAAGAGACTAACACCCTTTTTCGTTTTGAGGGGATATAAGCCACGAGTACAATCCCACTATTTATTATCTTAGTTAAATTATGTGCCTTACCCATCATCACATATGGTAGTGTAATGACGATATTCAGTAGCCACTCGATTTTTTTCTTCGACCATAGTCCTTTTATTATCATTTTTGCGAGTAAGATTGTGTGAAGTGTGTTTATGGAGTCCACTAACGTCGAAATCGCTTTAATCTCCTAGATTACCTGTGAATGTAACTTCTTTCCGTTTGTATACATTATCTTGTAAGTGTAAAGCATATAACTTACCATCAATACCGGGTTTACCAAGATTTAGTTCTACACAACACGTCGCTTGCACGTGACCGCCCATTGTGAAGCAAATGATATGACGTCATGCTGGCCATTTTGACCACAAATTGAGAAAGTTTAGAATCGTGTATTTTTCAAAGTCATGGTAGAATGTGTTTATTGGTGTTTCGTTATGATTATAGAAAGTTCCGGAGCTGAATACTGAGAGACAATAATAAGAGGGGATAATAGAAAAACACTTTACCGAGCACAATCCTTTATTACATAGACCCTTCCTCCGATTCAATCGAACTACTAGCACCCTCTAAGTTCTGTATTCTGCAACAGAAAACAAATACACCCAAAATAGATACAAAACGCAACTATCTCTTCCTCTAATGACATATATCCTCATTTGGAAAGGTCTGTTATCGGCAAAGCAAGAATGGATTTAATTACTTTTAAACAAAGAAAACTTTACATTGTAATATACAACCGACAAAAATAAGGGAAATGAATATTTGAATGTAGTTATTGTTTAGGTGCACATTAACAATACCGTGGCGTTGCGTCTTAATGCAACATCTTAACGCAATGCAATTTCATGAATGACCAGAACGTTATACATGTGCTCACAGAAACCAAAGTATGTGCGCCAACATCAAAACACACAATCACAAATGCAATTGAGCTGAGCACATGCTTAAAAATGCCTCCGAGATGATATCTCAATAAACAGATAAAATTGGCGAAACGTGGATAAGTTTGGGACACCAATAACCTACGTTGCCCAAATGTTGGGCAAATCATTAAGTGTAACTTCTTGACTGTGGGACAAGTAACGTCAAACGGGCGAGGTTCTAATGAGTGAGTGAGTATGGTTTTACGCCGCTTTCAGCAATATTCCAGCGATATCACGGCGGGGGACACCAGAAATGGGCTTCACACATTGTACCCATGTCGGGAATCGAACCCGGGTCTTCGGCGTGACGAGCGAACGCTTTAACCACTGGGCTACCCGACCGCCCCCGAGGTTGTAATGAGACCTGGGCCTGGCTGTGAGCGGTATTGTTGTTGTGCGTCATAGCATTGTTCATTCCGCTAGAATTATCGGCACAAACTTTTGAACTGCTAGATGACGATGCCAGACCACATCGTTCTGCAGTGACGTGACCGTCAAAAAGATCAGCTGTTGAATCGTTGAGTTTAGAATCGTGTATTTTCCGAAGTCATTGAAGAATGTGTTTATTGATGCCTTGTTATGATTAAAGAGAGTTTCGGAGCTAATTCGCTAGAGTGAGTGAGTGAGTATGGTTTTACGCCGCTTTTAGCAATATTCCAGCAATATCACGGCGGGGGACACCAGAAATGGGCTTCACACATTGTACCCATGTCGGGAATCGAACCCGTGTCTTCGGCGTGACGAGCGAACGCTTTAACCACTGGGCTACCCGACCGCCCCTAATTCGCTAGAGACAGCACACAGTTAGGACAATAGAAAAAAACTTTACTGAGCACAATCCTTTATAATATAGACCATTCCTCCGATTCAATCGAAGTACTATATTCTGCAACAGAAAATAAATCTACCCAAAATAGATACAGAACGGGCGAGGTTGTAATGAGTCATGGGCCTGAACTGTTCATTTCGCTAGAATTATCGTCACAATCTTTTGAACGGCTAAATGACCACATCGTTCCCAGGTTGTCACCGATTATCTCCATCGAGAAGACATAAGGACATTGGACTGGCCCGCTGAGTTCCCTGACACGTCCCTAGTTATGAAGGACCGCCTCCGTGGTCTTGTGGTAGAGCGTCCGCCCGGAGAGCGGAAGGTCCAGGGTTCGATCCCGGGCCGCGTCATACAAAAAGACGTTAAAAGATTGTACTTGTTGTTACCCTGTCTGGCGCTCGGCATTAAGGGGCTAAAACAAGGACTGGTCGGCTCGGAGTCAGTATACTGTGTCTGAGTGGGGTATTCATGTTAAACTGCGGCATGGTATCTCAGTGAGCTAGCACTATAAATCGGCATCAGTCCGGACTAGTACAAGCAGCCACACACACACATACACGTGCATGCACGTCGCTATATAAGTGCAATAATCTTGGACGCGACGTTAAACCCAATTTCACCTCACCCCACCTCACCTAGTTATGAAGCTGTGGGAGGTTGTCGGGCGGGGATACTGGCCCGCTGAGTTCCCTGACACGCCCCTAGTTATGAAGCTGTGGGAGGTTGTCGGGCGGGGATACTGGCCGGCTGAGTTCCCCGACACGCCCCTAGTTATGAAGCTGTGGGAGGTTGTCGGGCGGGGATACTGGCCCGCTGAGTTCCCTGACACGCCCCTAGTTATGAAGCTGTGGGAGGTTGTCGGGCGGGGATACTGGCCGGCTGAGTTCCCCGACACGCCCCTAGTTATGAAGCTGTGGGAGGTTGTCGGGCGGGGATACTGGCCGGCTGAGTTCCCTGACACGCCCCTAGTTATGAAGCTGTGGGAGGTTGTCGGGCGGGGATACTGGCCGGCTGAGTTCCCCGACACGCCCCTAGTTATGAAGCTGTGGGAGGTTGTCGGGCGGGGATACTGGCCGGCTGAGTTCCCCGACACGCCCCTAGTTATGAAGCTGTGGGAGGTTGTCGGGCGGGGATACTGGCCGGCTGAGTTCCCCGACACGCCCCTAGTTATGAAGCTGTGGGAGGTTGTCGGGCGGGGATACTGGCCGGCTGAGTTCCCCGACACGCCCCTAGTTATGAAGCTGTGGGAGGTTGTCGGGCGGGGATACTGGCCGGCTGAGTTCCCTGACACGCCCCTAGTTATGAAGCTGTGGGAGGTTGTCGGGCGGGGATACTGGCCGGCTGAGTTCCCCGACACGCCCCTAGTTATGAAGCTGTGGGAGGTTGTCGGGCGGGGATACTGGCCGGCTGAGTTCCCCGACACGCCCCTAGTTATGAAGCTGTGGGAGGTTGTCGGGCGGGGATACTGGCCCGCTGAGTTCCCTGACACGCCCCTAGTTATGAAGCTGTGGGAGGTTGTCGGGCGGGGATACTGGCCGGCTGAGTTCCCCGACACGCCCCTAGTTATGAAGCTGTGGGAGGTTGTCGGGCGGGGATACTGGCCGGCTGAGTTCCCCGACACGCCCCTAGTTATGAAGCTGTGGGAGGTTGTCGGGCGGGGATACTGGCCCGCTGAGTTCCCCGACACGCCCCTAGTTATGAAGCTGTGGGAGGTTGTCGGGCGGGGATACTGGCCCGCTGAGTTCCCTGACACGCCCCTAGTTATGAAGCTGTGGGAGGCTGTCGGGCGGGGATACTGGCCGGCTGAGTTCCCTGACACGCCCCTAGTTATGAAGCTGTGGGAGGTTGTCGGGCGGGGATTGCACGCCAGAGACCCAACACCTACGAACGTGACCCGCTTTGCCGGAATGGCTGGTGACACCACGAACAACCATGAGCAAGTTAAGCAACAGTTTGCCATCAAGGTGTCGTGCATGTATCGTCCAACATTGTGGAAACACCAAATATTGATCTCCACGCCCCAAATTAATTTTATAGACATTTATAATGTCATTACACCCTCACTTTCATTTCATTAGTTCCCTTATTGTTGTCGGTAGTATACACACTAGTGACATTTAGATAGACGGATGGGTTGATTGATTGAAAACACCAGTTGATCGTGAAAATGGTAAGTATACCCCGTTGCACTTGTAATCTCCACTAGTTAATTCTCATCACAAAAGTGTCTTTTCAATATGTTTATGATGCATATTGAAGTCATTCAGCTTTCACTGTAACCACCTTGCATTATTCACCATGGTTTCTAAGTTTCAAATCATACGAACCCAAGAAGAACATTAATTTGCAAAAAGCAAAGGTACATGTTTCTTAATGTTTCCATGACATACGTCAATCAACATCAGGTATGAGATCATTTACGATATATTATGTTGAGATAATAGCAATTTTGCATATGTGTTGACATATATCACCTCTGCAAGGTTTGTATAGTTTGTAAATCTTAGCGGAGATCTTGAAATAGCAGCATATAAGTGTGCTTCCCCAGGAATATGAAACTACCAAATACCTTCGTTTAATGATTTGTGCACCTCTCCTCAGCAGGGTAACTTCGTCCACAGGACCATCCTCCATCTTGGCAACGACATCCTGCAGCTGGTCAACCGATCCACCTCGTCCACCGCCACCTCTAATACTGGCGTTGACACCATAGACAAAGGCGATCATAATGAGTACCATGTATCGCATTTTGCTGAAATGAATAAATGTCTGAGTTGTTAAACTATGGAATCCTAGAAGTAGTAAACCTAACTACAAGCATTGAATGATCTTGTTAAACAATTAAACAAATAAAAGCAATACAACCATTTCAAAAATCATATGAAATCTCTGCTAAAAATAGAGCCTGTTTTATGATTTCGACTATATACGAATGTGTTTATGAATCACTACTAATTTGAAATAACTTCAATTGTATTATTGACCAAAACAGAAAGAAAAATTAACTGATCATGATACAACATAAAAAATACTTAAACTTACAAAATAACTCGAAACAAAGCCCTTTCCATAATCATAAAATGAATTCTGTGAAAACATAGGAGATATTTACAAGAGACACAAAATCTTACCTTGTTAGTTGATTGCAGTTCTTCAGAAGGATGAATAGTTTCCAGTAGTATTTATACACCGCGGAACATGTCATTATTTATGCAGTCGTTACATTTTCACATCACAATATATTATAACTTACACTATGGTGATAACGTTATTAAACTAGTCAGTCAATATTATTAATATATGCAATCTCGCATCGCATTTTCAATCATATATATTCAACTTGCATGCATCTCTTTTCATGCACAGCAATGTTTTCCATTTGAACGCCACATCAGTCAGGCTTGTTCTCTAAAGACCATTCATCAACGAAACAGAGTGAATGTTGAATATCAGATATATTACATGTATCTTTTCTAAAGAACTTTGATGTCGTTATCGAATTTCAGTAGTATTATTATTATGAAAAGAATAGTAAATTATGTAGCGTTTATGGAATTTCACAAATTATTGCAACGCTGTTGCAGTACTCCAGGCTTGCTATGCTTATTGTCGCAAACCATAATAGACTGATGACATCTGACTGATATACATCTAACTTGTTGTGTGAGAGTAATTTGACTGCCTTTGATTCATTGTGAGTATAGCTTTGATCCTATTGAAAGCAATGAAATAACAGAAATATTGATAACTTTGTCACTAACATCACGGCTTGCTTAATGCATCTGACGACATCGAAATATTGATTGGGTTTGTTGTTTTACGCCGCAACTAGCAATATTCTAGCTATATGACGGCAGTCTGTAAATAATCGAGTCTGGACCAGACAATCTAGTGATTAATATAATGAGCATCGATCAATGCAGTTGGGATCGATGACATGCATCAACCAGAAGACCTATTCTACCCCGGACCTTCACGGTCCCGAAATATTGAAACATTACTGGAGAAACACATCTTAGCCTCAGGTTATACATAAATGTATAATTTGCTCGAAATACCAGATGTTATTAAATAAAAGTGTTATAAAATGCTCAAAAAGAAAATAGACTAAGTGTCTGGCACCAGTGACCGATAAAATGTCCGGTTGTTAAAAACAATTTCTTATTGATTCAATTGACACTTCCAATTTTAATTTGGAAATGTGCTTCAAAAAATTCTCTTCAAAAAGAAGTAGGACATACTCAGAAATAACTTATAATTTCAAAAATGTTAAGAAAGGTTATTTTTTTGTAATGGTTGTATTATAAAAATGAACGAATTGGAACAAATTACCATCGATTGTGACTGGAGATTCTTAAGACGATCTTGAAGGACGCTAGGGGTAAGATGGGAAATTTCAAAGTTAACTTTTTTACATCAGTGGTGCGTAATATCGTCACGATTAGTCAAGCAATCATTCACTCGACGAGGTATATCATATACTGCGTATGAGTCTTCCTGTGGTAAACTGAGGGAGATTGTCCCACTTCTCTTGGAGCGCCTGGCCAAGTTCAGCCAACGAAGTCAGAGCCCTACACGTCTTCTTATCATGTCCCAGACCTGTTCAAAGGGGAAATGGTCTGGGTTCATTGCTACACATAGTATTCTATGGGTGTTGTGCTGCTGCATTGACGACTCGTGTCCTGAAAGACAAAACGTCGACCACCACGCCTTGCAAACGGTCCAACAAAGGTTGTCAGTATGCTGTTCCGATAGTTCTGTCCAGTGACCCTTCCTTGCACAAAAGAGAGTGGGGTTCGCTCAGTCATAGTGATGCCAAGCCACACCACAACCGATCAACCGCCAAATGTGTCATGAGGTCTCAGGTTGACAATGGATTGACCTTCATTTCGAAGTCGCCAAACACAACCACGTCTGACAAGGATTTTGGTTTGGTTTGGTTTGTTGTTTAACGCCGCACTCGGAAATATTTCAGCTATATGACGGCGTCTGTAAATAATCGAGTCCAGACAATCCAGTGATTGACATCATGAACATCGATCCACGCAATTGGAATTGATGACATGCTTCAACAAAGTCAGCGAGCCTGACCACCCGATCCCGTTAGTCGCCTTTTACGACAAGCATTGTCACCTTTTACGGCAAGCAAGGGTTGCTGAAGACCTATTCTACCCCGGATCTTCACGGGTCGCCTGTCAAGGAAGTGTTAAGTGGGTCTGAAAACATGGCACGTGAACAGCAGTTTCGGCGTTGTTTACACCAGTGACATCTGCTAGGAATCTGACCATTTGTAAGGGAGTGGACAACACCTGTCCGTCGGTCACGGAGATGAGCTGCATTGTCCTGAGAATCCATTATACATGTATATTTTCTTTTCATGAAGAATATATTAAACATATTTAGATTTCATGAAATGTATATTCCTACCATTTCATATATTATGTTGCTTGTGCAGCAATTGCCAGTGGTTGCACTGGCCAATTACCAACCTTTATATTGTCTGTATGTTAACCCTGGTAACCTCACAGCCAATGAAAGGCTGATGTTATTTAATTATAGCTAGGCTATTTGTCTCTTCAAGCAAAATGAATACAAATTGGTCAGTTTCCAGATCTAGAATGGGTGTGAAATGATCTGCCACGTCGGCGATATTTGAAACTTTAATTGTATATGCCATGTTGGCAATATGTGAACTTTGTTCAACAAATTGAGTACAATGAGTACCTGCCCCTCTCTTCAAAACAGTGTCTTTCTTTCAGAGGAGCATCCTCCATCGTATCCGCTCCCTGGTCAACTAATCCATGTCCAAGTCTACCCGCCCAACTCTTCAAAACAGTGTCTTCATTCAGAGGAGCATCTTCCGTCGTATCTGCGCCCTGGTCAACCAATCAATGATCACTTCTACCCGCCCCTCGGGTAGCCTAGTGGTTAAAGCGGTCGCTCGTCACGCTGAAGACCCAGGTTTGATTCCCGACATGGGTACAATGAGTGAAGCCCATTTCGGGTTTCCCCCGCCGTGATATTGCTGGAGTATTGCTAAAAGCGGCGTTAAACCCAACTCACTCACTCACTCTACCCGCCCATCTCTTCAAAACAGTGTCTTCGTTCAGAGGAGCATCCTCCATCGTAGCAGTGCCTTGGTCAACTAATCCATGTCCAATTCTACCCGCTCCTCCCTATACCTTTTCCCTCTCTTCACACTTGTTTATAGCAACAAAACCCTTTCCATATCCAATAGACACGTATATATATATACGTTTTTGCACTGGTTATTTGTAACGTAAACATCTGATAGTCTCTTTACGATAACAGTAATACCACAATTCCCGAATTAATATTCACATTCATAATCTCACATCAATAATGCACATTTATCAAATTTCATTATACATATTCAAGGGTTTGTCAGTATTTAATTTGATGCATGTGCAGTATAGGATCAGAGCTTGTTTCTATGTTATAATGCTGTCAAAATATCATTTGCTTGTGCTTTGATTGATCTGTTGTTAATGGAAAGTACACTGGTGCCAGTGGAACCTCACGGGGGCGGACGAGAAGACGGAACTTGTCATCATCGAAGGCAATCTCACAGCACAATGCTACATTGACAATATCTTGCGGCCAGTGGTTCTTCCTTTCATCCAGCGTCAACAACGGACAGTGTTCCAACAAGATAACGCCACACCCATAAAGCCCCCATTACTAGAGACTTCCTTAACGCCAACAACGTGACTGTCCTGCCGTGGCCAGCTCGACCACCAGATCTGTCACCCATAGAACATCTCTGGAACCAGCTGGGGCGTCGTTTTCGGAAACGTCAACATCCTCCCTTCACGAGACAAGCGTTGATCGTTGCCCTCCGTGAGGAATGGAATCGGATACCTGCAGTCGATGTGAGGACGCTTGTCTACTCAGTTCGACGCCGCATTTGAAGATGCATTGCTGCTCATGGAGGTCATATCCCGTATTGAACGGTCTGGGCCGTCGTCACCTTAAAGTTGTAACCAATGTTGTTGATCGAATACTGGACGAATGACCCCTTGTCAAGAAATGTCCCTGTTGGAGGTCAAGGACTTTGTTGTTGAATTAGTAAATTCGCATTTTACTGTTCTGAATGATGAATTTCTACCATACAATTGTTATTGCTGCTTCAAATTGCGTTGGTTATATTTAATCCTAGAAATATCGTTGGTAGCGTTTCTTTTGGCCGTCGGTTTAGTATGAATGCTGGTGCCTGCGTTTCTGTAGAGGGTTCATATGAATATAATACAAAATAATTCAGTAGGTGTATACAGTGACATTCTCAAAACGATAGATAATAGTACGCCATGTGTGTCCTACCGTGATATCTGTTGTAGTTACAACACAGACATTTGAATGAGAGGACAGTACACTGGTGAACGTAAACTGAGAGGATCACTGAATATCAGTTAAGACACCAGGTGTTCGCGAAAAGGGTAATCTGGTCATCTATTGTACCTGTCGTAGCCTTGAGTGACATCCACTGCATTGCCATCTTTGTTAATTTGGTTTCTATACACTTTAGCTCACCTGATTATATAATGTTCTTTTATCGAAAGCAATTAGCTCACCTGATTATATAATGTCGTTTTAACAAAAGCAATAGTAATTAGCTCACCTGATTATATACTGTTGTTTTAACAAAAGCAATAGTAAATATCTCCCCTGATTATGTAAAGTTGTTTTAACAAAGCAATTGTTATTAGCTCACCTGATTATATAATGTTTCAACTAAAGCAATAGTAATTAGCTCACCTGATTATGTAATGTTTTAACAAAAGCAACGGTTAATTGATTAATATCTCAATATCGACTCTCAATAAGGATTTATCTACACTGTTTTTAAATATATTACTCAAACAAAAAGCACACATTCGCTTTTTCATACATTTCAAGAGTTTTTAGGTGCGTAACTACAGATATTCCAAACATCAATTTCAGTTAATCTATCGTACAGAAACAACGGCCAAAACCATGTCAAATATTGTTTTTTAGCTCACACGGAATTGGGCAGATATATGTACTGTGACAACACCCCAGCGTTCAATGAGTGAGTGCGTTGGGTTTAATTCCGCTGTCAACGGTATTTCCTTATTCAATATATGTTACGTTTCTACAACCAAAACCGAAATAATTCGAATGAAGGAAAGAATAATACCAACCATTTATTGTGCACAATGCTTTATTGGGTAGATAATTCACTGTGAGCCCAATGTTTTGGGTTTTTTCTATTGCTGTTTGTCATCCATCATTCTGAAATAGAATAGAAATAGAAATTATATCCAAAGAGGACTGAGAAAATAGAGATAACGTTATGTTACGCTTCATGTCAATCTAAAACATGCCATCATTTGAACTGATCTCAAAATGGGAGGGCGTGGGATGATAATAGGGACGTATATAATGGTACTATATACGAACTGTACTATGGCCTGACGGGGCGGTCGGGTAGCCTAGTGGTTAAAGCGTTCGCTCGTCGCGACGAAGACCCGGGTTCGATTCCCGACATGGGTACAATGTGTGAAGCCCATTTCTGGTGTCCCCCGCCGTGATATTGCTGGAATATTGCTAAAAGCGGCGTAAAACCATACTCACTCACTCACTATGGCCTGACAAAGAAGGAGGTAGATACCACAAGCAGTGTTTAAAATACCCGCTTGCCCGACCGCCCAAGACAGCCTGTTTTGCTGACGGACTTTCAGTTTTGAAAAGTTGCACGCCGGATGATCGGGAGTTAAAGTTACTAAAATGACAATCCGACAGATAATTGTTAGTTTCTGAGAACTTACATTAAACAGTATTATTCTTATCTTTACTCCTTTGTTACTTGTGTTCTTTAGTGTAGAAAATACTGGACAGGCACTTATATTTTTTGGAATTTTATACACTGTCACAAGGCGATGCTACATGTTGCAGCCAGTGGGATAAAACCTAAAGAGGGACGCATAAAACCTCATGTACCCCGAGTGATCCTGCTACAACGATTTATCTTACCGACATTTTAAAAATACATGACATGCCAGAAGTATAACAAATTCAAAATTGATAGAAAACAGCTGTTTGATAGAACTGAGGTTAACGTGTGCTATGTCACGTGACTTTCATTGACTCGGAAAAAGCGTGCGGCTTTTTGTTTCGAAGCGAGGTTTAGTGGGATTTATTCTCCCTCTCAGGAGTCGAGGTACAGCATGTCTTCTTCGTGGCGGGGTATAAGAAATATATTCTCCCACTGAGAATTTTTTTTCCCTCCAAGGCGGGATACATAGTATTTTATCAAGATCACGCGGGCTAATCAGATCTCATCATTCTGACACGGAGGTATGGTAAAACGTTATATTACATCATGTTTATTTGTGTAGAAATACAGTCAACCAGGGACCTAATTAGTCCTACTACTATACATGAACGGCAGAAAGGTTCATACATTTTTAAAAATATACGATACATTTTCGCATAAAATACAATTTTCATTATTCACCTTGATTTCTAATTCTCAATATCACACAGACACAACAAGGATAATTAGCAAAAAGCCAAGGTAAACTTTTTCACATTGTTTGTAAGACAAACCTCAATCAACAATCTTGTGAGATGTTCATTATTTTACACCCAAGCCACATTTTAAATCATCCTCTTTTGGTATTTGCACCAAATAAGATAAGCATATTTGAAAAAACGTTGACTTTCATCACCTTAACATGGTTTGTAAATCTTTGTCAAAGCAACTTTGTAGATGTGTTCAAAGAAAATCAAAGTCTACTACAAGCGTGTGTGACCACTTTTCGTGGCGTGTTTCCGTTGGGTTTGTTTGTTTGTTGTTTAACGCCGCACTCTGGACCAGACAATCCAGTGATTGACACCATGAGCATCGATCTACGCCATTGGAATACGATAACATGCATCAACCAAATCAGCCAGTCTGATAACCCGATCCAGTGCGTCGCCTCTAACGACAAGCATAGTCACCTTTTACAGCAAGCATGGGTTGCTGAAGACCTATTCTACCCCTGATCTTCACGGGTATGATACAGTTGTCCCTGCAATGACGGCCGTCGAGAGACAACTCCAAGTCAACCCCAAGGATAAAGAACATCCAATTACCTTAGTGTTACGCTTTGTACACAAGATCGGCCATCTTGGCTACAACGTCCGTGTCAACAATTCCACCTCCATAGCCACCGTAGGCCTCTCTCTTTACCAAGGCAGCTTCGTGCACAGGATCGTCCACCATCTTGGCTACAACGTCTGTGTCAACAATTCCACCTCCAAAGCCACCGCCACTCGCTCTCTTTACCAAGGCAGCTTCGTGCACAGGATCGTCCACCATCTTGACTACAACGTCCGTGTCAACAATTCCACCTCCATAGCCATCGTAAGCCTCTCTCTTTACCAAGGCAGCTTCGTGCACAGGATCGTCCAGCATCTTGGCTACAACGTCCGTGTCAACAATTCCACCTCGAGAGCCACCGCTACCCTCTCTCTTTACCAAGGCAGCTTCGTGCACAGGATCGTCCAGCATCTTGGCTACAACGTCCGTGTCAACAATTCCACCTCGAGAGCCACCGCTACCCTCTCTCTTTACCAAGGCAGCTTCGCGCACAGGATCGTCCAGCATCTTGGCTACAACGTCCGTGTCAACAATTCCACCTCGAGAGCCACCGCTACCCTCTCTCTTTACCAAGGCAGCTTCGTGCACAGGATCGTCCAGCATCTTGGCTACAACGTCCGTGTCAACAATTCCACCTCGAGAGCCACCGCTACCCTCTCTCTTTACCAAGGCAGCTTCGTGCACAGGATCGTCCAGCATCTTGGCTACAACGTCCGTGTCAACAATTCCACCTCGAGAGCCACCGCTACCCTCTCTCTTTACCAAGGCAGCTTCGCGCACAGGATCGTCCAGCATCTTGGCTACAACGTCCGTGTCAACAATTCCACCTCGAGAGCCACCGCTACCCTCTCTCTTTACCAAGGCAGCTTCGTGCACAGGATCGTCCAGCATCTTGGCTACAACGTCCGTGTCAACAATTCCACCTCGAGAGCCACCGCTACCCTCTCTCTTTACCAAGGCAGCTTCGTGCACAGGATCGTCCAGCATCTTGGCTACAACGTCCGTGTCAACAATTCCACCTCGAGAGCCACCGCTACCCTCTCTCTTTACCAAGGCAGCTTCGTGCACAGGATCGTCCAGCATCTTGGCTACAACGTCCGTGTCAACAATTCCACCTCGAAAGCCACCGCTACCCTCTCTCTTTACCAAGGCAGCTTCGCGCACAGGATCGTCCACCATCTTGGCTACAACGTCCGTGTCAACAATTCCACCTCGAGAGCCACCGCTACCCTCTCTCTTTACCAAGGCAGCTTCGTGCACAGGATCGTCCAGCATCTTGGCTACAACGTCCGTGTCAACAATTCCACCTCGAGAGCCACCGCTACCCTCTCTCTTTACCAAGGCAGCTTCGTGCACAGGATCGTCCAGCATCTTGGCTACAACGTCCGTGTCAACAATTCCACCTCGAGAGCCACCGCTACCCTCTCTCTTTACCAAGGCAGCTTCGTGCACAGGATCGTCCAGCATCTTGGCTACAACGTCCGTGTCAACAATTCCACCTCGAGAGCCACCGCTACCCTCTCTCTTTACCAAGGCAGCTTCGCGCACAGGATCGTCCAGCATCTTGGCTACAACGTCCGTGTCAACAATTCCACCTCGAGAGCCACCGCTACCCTCTCTCTTTACCAAGGCAGCTTCGCGCACAGGATCGTCCAGCATCTTGGCTACAACGTCCGTGTCAACAATTCCACCTCGAGAGCCACCGCTACCCTCTCTCTTTACCAAGGCAGCTTCGTGCACAGGATCGTCCAGCATCTTGGCTACAACGTCCGTGTCAACAATTCCACCTCGAGAGCCACCGCTACCCTCTCTCTTTACCAAGGCAGCTTCGTGCACAGGATCGTCCAGCATCTTGGCTACAACGTCCGTGTCAACAATTCCACCTCGAGAGCCACCGCTACCCTCTCTCTTTACCAAGGCAGCTTCGCGCACAGGATCGTCCAGCATCTTGGCTACAACGTCCGTGTCAACAATTCCACCTCGAGAGCCACCGCTACCCTCTCTCTTTACCAAGGCAGCTTCGTGCACAGGATCGTCCAGCATCTTGGCTACAACGTCCGTGTCAACAATTCCACCTCGAGAGCCACCGCTACCCTCTCTCTTTACCAAGGCAGCTTCGTGCACAGGATCGTCCAGCATCTTGGCTACAACGTCCGTGTCAACAATTCCACCTCGAGAGCCACCGCTACCCTCTCTCTTTACCAAGGCAGCTTCGTGCACAGGATCGTCCAGCATCTTGGCTACAACGTCCGTGTCAACAATTCCACCTCGAGAGCCACCGCTACCCTCTCTCTTTACCAAGGCAGCTTCGCGCACAGGATCGTCCAGCATCTTGGCTACAACGTCCGTGTCAACAATTCCACCTCGAGAGCCACCGCTACCCTCTCTCTTTACCAAGGCAGCTTCGTGCACAGGATCGTCCAGCATCTTGGCTACAACGTCCGTGTCAACAATTCCACCTCGAGAGCCACCGCTACCCTCTCTCTTTACCAAGGCAGCTTCGTGCACAGGATCGTCCAGCATCTTGGCTACAACGTCCGTGTCAACAATTCCACCTCGAGAGCCACCGCTACCCTCTCTCTTTACCAAGGCAGCTTCGTGCACAGGATCGTCCAGCATCTTGGCTACAACGTCCGTGTCAACAATTCCACCTCGAGAGCCACCGCTACCCTCTCTCTTTACCAAGGCAGCTTCGCGCACAGGATCGTCCAGCATCTTGGCTACAACGTCCGTGTCAACAATTCCACCTCGAGAGCCACCGCTACCCTCTCTCTTTACCAAGGCAGCTTCGTGCACAGGATCGTCCAGCATCTTGGCTACAACGTCCGTGTCAACAATTCCACCTCGAGAGCCACCGCTACCCTCTCTCTTTACCAAGGCAGCTTCGTGCACAGGATCGTCCAGCATCTTGGCTACAACGTCCGTGTCAACAATTCCACCTCGAGAGCCACCGCTACCCTCTCTCTTTACCAAGGCAGCTTCGCGCACAGGATCGTCCAGCATCTTGGCTACAACGTCCGTGTCAACAATTCCACCTCGAGAGCCACCGCTACCCTCTCTCTTTACCAAGGCAGCTTCGTGCACAGGATCGTCCAGCATCTTGGCTACAACGTCCGTGTCAACAATTCCACCTCGAGAGCCACCGCTACCCTCTCTCTTTACCAAGGCAGCTTCGTGCACAGGATCGTCCAGCATCTTGGCTACAACGTCCGTGTCAACAATTCCACCTCGAGAGCCACCGCTACCCTCTCTCTTTACCAAGGCAGCTTCGTGCACAGGATCGTCCACCATCTTGGCTACAACGTCCGTGTCAACAATTCCACCTCGAGAGCCACCGCTACCCTCTCTCTTTACCAAGGCAGCTTTGTGCACAGGATCGTCCACCATCTTGGCTACAACGTCCGTGAGAACAATTCCACCTCGAGAGCCACCGCTACCCTCTCTCTTTACCAAGCCAGCTTCGTGCACAGGATCGTCCACCATCTTGGCTACAACGTCCGTGTCAACAATTCCACCTCGAGAGCCACCGCTACCCTCTCTCTTTACCAAGGCAGCTTCGTGCACAGGATCGTCCAGCATCTTGGCTACAACGTCCGTGTCAACCAATCTACCTGCTCGTCCACCGGCAATTACGATCACTATGAGTATAATGTATCGCATTTTGCTGAAAACAACAAACATCCGAGTTGTTAATCCTAGCATATCTTTTTATGATGTGCTATACACTGAAATAAATTAAAACAACAAAACAGTTCCAAAATTAAAAATCACGTCTAATGCTGAAAGCAGAGACCATCCTATGCTAAAAGCAGAGACCATCCTATGCTAAAAGCAGCGACCATCCTATGCTAAAAGCAGAGACCATCCTATGCTAAAAGCAGAGACCGACCTATGCTAAAAGCAGAGACCGACCTATGCTAAAAGCAGAGACCATCCTATGCTAAAAGCAGCGACCATCCTATGCTAAAAGCAGAGACCTTCCTATGCTAAAAGCAGAGACCATCCTATGCTAAAAGCAGCGACCATCCTATGCTAAAAGCAGAGACCATCCCATGCTAAAAGCAGCGACCATCCTATGCTAAAAGCAGCGACCATCCTATACTAAAAGCAGAGACCATCCTATGCTAAAAACAGCGACCATCCTATGCTAAAAGCAGAGACCATCCTATGATAAAAGCAGCGACCATCCTATGATAAAAGCAGCGACCATCCTATGCTAAAAGCAGAGACCATCCTATGCTAAAGGCAGCGACCATCCTATGCTAAAGCAGCGACCATCCTATGCTAAAAGCAGCGACCATCCTATGCTAAAAGCAGAGACCTTCCTATGCTAAAAGCAGAGACCATCCTATGCTAAAAGCAGCGACCATCCTATGCTAAAAGCAGAGACCATCCTATGCTAAAAGCAGAGACCATCCTATGCTAAAAGCAGAGACCTTCCTATGCTAAAAGCAGAGACCATCCTATGATAAAAGGAGCGACCATCCTATGCTAAAAGTAGAGACCATCCTATGCTAAAAGCAGCGACCATCCTATGCTAAAAGCAGAGACCATCCTATGCTAAAAGCAGCGACCATCCTATGCTAAAAGCAGCGACCATCCTATACTAAAAGCAGAGACCATCCTATGCTAAAAGCAGCGACCATCCTATGATAAAAGCAGAGACCATCCTATGATAAAAGCAGCGACCATCCTATGCTAAAGGCAGCGACCATCCTATGCTAAAGCAGCGACCATCCTATGCTAAAAGCAGCGACCATCCTATGCTAAAAGCAGACACCATTCTATGCTTAAAGCAGCGACCATCCTACGCTAAAAGCAGAGACCATCCTATGCTAAAAGCTGCGACCATCCTATGATAAAAGCAGCGACCATCCTATGCTAAAAGCAGAGACTATCCTATGCTAAAAGCAGAGACCATTCATGCTAAAAGCAGAGACCATCCTATGTTAAAAGCAGGACCATCCTATGCTAAAAGCAGCGACCATCCTATGCTAAAAGCAGAGACCATCCTATGCTAAAAGCAGCGACCATCCTATGCTAAAAGCAGAGACCTTCCTATGCTAAAAGCAGAGACCATCCTATGCTAAAAGCAGCGACCATCCTATGCTAAAAGCAGACACCATTCTATGCTTAAAGCAGCGACCATCCTATGCTAAAAGTAGCGACCATCCTATGCTAAAAGCAGAGACCATCCTATGCTAAAAGCAGCGACCATCCTATGCTAAAAGCAGAGACCATCCTATGCTAAAAGCAGCGACCATCCTATGCTAAAAGCAGAGACCATCCTATGATAAAAGCAGAGACCATCCTATGCTAAAAGCAGAGACCTTCCTATGCTAAAAGCAGAGACCATCCTATGCTAAAAGCAGCGACCATCCTATGCTAAAGCAGCGACTATCCTATGCTAAAAGCAGAGACCATCCTATGCTAAAAGCAGCGACCATCCTATGCTAAAGCAGCGACCATCCTGTGCTAAAAGCAGAGACCATCCTATGCTAAAAGCAGAGACCATACTATGCTAAAAGCAGAGACCATCCTATGCTAAAAGCAGAGACCATCCTATGCTAAAAGCAGCGACCATCCTATGCTAAAAGCAGAGACCATCCTATGCTAAAAGCAGCGACCATCCTATGCTAAAAGCAGCGACCATCCTATGCTAAAAGCAGAGACCATCCTATCCTAAAAGCAGAGACCATCCTATGCTAAAGCAGCGACCATCCTATGCTAAAAGCAGAGACAATCCTATGCTAAAGCAGCGACCATCCTATGCTAAAAGCAGAGACCATCCTATGCTAAAAGCAGCGACCACCCTATGCTAAAAGCAGCGACGATCCTATGCTAAAAGCAGCGACCATCCTATGCTAAAAGCAGCGACCATCCTATGCTAAAAGCAGCGACCATCCTATGCTAAAAGCAGCGACCATCCTATGCTAAAAGCAGAGACCATCCTATGCTTAAAGCAGACACCATTCTATGCTTAAAGCAGCGACCATCCTATGCTAAAAGCAGCGACCATCCTATGCTTAAAGCAGACACCATTCTATGCTTAAAGCAGACACCATTCTATGCTTAAAGCAGCGACCATCCTATGCTAAAAGCAGCGACCATCCTATGCTAAAAGCAGAGACCATCCTATGCTAAAAGCAGCGACCATCCTATGCTAAAAGCAGAGACAATCCTATGCTAAAGCAGCGACCATCCTATGCTAAAAGCAGAGACCATCCTATGCTAAAAGCAGCGACCACCCTATGCTAAAAGCAGCGACGATCCTATGCTAAAAGCAGCGACCATCCTATGCTAAAAGCAGCGACCATCCTATGCTAAAAGCAGAGACCATCCTATGCCTAAAAGCAGCGACCATCCTATGCTCAAAGCAGAGACCATCCTATGCTAAAAGCAGCGACCATCCTATGCTAAAAGCAGAGACCATCCTATGCTAAAAGCAGCGACCACCCTATGCTAAAGCAGCGACCATCCTGTGCTAAAAGCAGAGACCATCCTATGCTAAAAGCAGAGACCATACTATGCTAAAAGCAGAGACCGACCTATGCTAAAAGCAGAGACCATCCTATGCTAAAAGCAGCGACCATCCTATGCTAAAAGCAGAGACCATCCTATGCTAAAAGCAGCGACCATCCTATGCTAAAGCAGCGACCATCCTGTGCTAAAAGCAGAGACCATCCTATGCTAAAAGCAGAGACCATACTATGCTAAAAGCAGAGACCATCCTATGCTAAAAGCAGAGACCATCCTATGCTAAAAGCAGCGACCATCCTATGCTAAAAGCAGAGACCATCCTATGCTAAAAGCAGCGACCATCCTATGCTAAAAGCAGCGACCATCCTATGCTAAAAGCAGAGACCATCCTATCCTAAAAGCAGAGACCATCCTATGCTAAAGCAGCGACCATCCTATGCTAAAAGCAGAGACAATCCTATGCTAAAGCAGCGACCATCCTATGCTAAAAGCAGAGACCATCCTATGCTAAAAGCAGCGACCACCCTATGCTAAAAGCAGCGACGATCCTATGCTAAAAGCAGCGACCATCCTATGCTAAAAGCAGCGACCATCCTATGCTAAAAGCAGCGACCATCCTATGCTAAAAGCAGCGACCATCCTATGCTAAAAGCAGAGACCATCCTATGCTTAAAGCAGACACCATTCTATGCTTAAAGCAGCGACCATCCTATGCTAAAAGCAGCGACCATCCTATGCTTAAAGCAGACACCATTCTATGCTTAAAGCAGACACCATTCTATGCTTAAAGCAGCGACCATCCTATGCTAAAAGCAGCGACCATCCTATGCTAAAAGCAGAGACCATCCTATGCTAAAAGCAGCGACCATCCTATGCTAAAAGCAGAGACAATCCTATGCTAAAGCAGCGACCATCCTATGCTAAAAGCAGAGACCATCCTATGCTAAAAGCAGCGACCACCCTATGCTAAAAGCAGCGACGATCCTATGCTAAAAGCAGCGACCATCCTATGCTAAAAGCAGCGACCATCCTATGCTAAAAGCAGAGACCATCCTATGCCTAAAAGCAGCGACCATCCTATGCTCAAAGCAGAGACCATCCTATGCTAAAAGCAGCGACCATCCTATGCTAAAAGCAGAGACCATCCTATGCTAAAAGCAGCGACCACCCTATGCTAAAGCAGCGACCATCCTGTGCTAAAAGCAGAGACCATCCTATGCTAAAAGCAGAGACCATACTATGCTAAAAGCAGAGACCGACCTATGCTAAAAGCAGAGACCATCCTATGCTAAAAGCAGCGACCATCCTATGCTAAAAGCAGAGACCATCCTATGCTTAAAGCAGCGACCATCCTATGCTAAAAGCAGAGACGACCTATGCTAAAAGCAGAGACCATCCTATGCTTGAAGCAGAGACCATCCTATGCTTAAAGCAGAGACCGACCTATGCTAAAAGTAGAGACCACCCTATGCTAAAAGCAGCGACCATCCTATGCTAAAAGCAGAGACCATCCTATGCTAAAAGCAGAGACCATCCTATGCTAAAAGCAGAGACCATCCTATGCTAAAAGGGGGCGGTCGGGTAGCCTAGTGGTTGAAGCGTTCGCTCGTCACGCCGAAGACCCGGGTTCGATTCCCGACATGGGTACAATGTACATGGGTACAATGTGTGAAGCCGTGATATTGCTGGAATAATTGCTAAAAGCGGCGTAAAACCATATTCACTCACTCACTCACTATGTTAAAAGCAGAGACAATTGTACGATTTCGACAACATCATGAGAGTGTGTGTGGGCGGAAGGCCGAGACTGGTTGTTGTCTTGGGTTGACATTCTATATTTACTTGAACTGGGGCGATATTTCTGCTGGTGGACTAAAGTCCCGAGTTTTGTCATAATCTCAGTAGCATTTATCTATGCTACGTCAACTTAAAAAAAAATGGTTGGCCGAGACTTTAAAACTACGCCACACTGGGTTGCAAGACGAATATATTTCTTAACGGTTTCCTCTACTTGTAGTGAGTGAGTGAGTGAGTTTGGTTTTACGCCGCTTTTAGCAATATTCCAGCAATATCACGGCGGGGGACACCAGAAATGGGCTTCACACATTGTACCCATGTCGGGATTCGGACCCGTGTCTTCGGCGTGACGAGCGAACGCTTTAACCACTAGGCTACCCGACCGCCCCTCCTTTACTTATAAGCAGCAGAATCTCTGCACATGTAAAAAACATACGTAATTCACAATTAACGTATCGTTTTTGTTAGGTTCAACAAAATCAGTAAATGCACTATCGTTTCACTGGGTTTTCTGGTTCATCGATCACTTGATTGTCTGGTTTGTTTACAGGCCGCCGTCGGGTGTCAGGGGTCCTGCTGTGTTGCGTCAGGCAACAAATACTTACTTTTTTATGCAAGTTGTGTGATGTTTGTTTGTTTGTTGTTTAACGCCGCACTCAGCAATATTCCAGATATATGACGGCGGTCTGTAAATAATCGAGTCTGGACCAGACAATCCAGTGATTAAAATCATGAGCATCGATCCACGCAAATGGGACTGATGACATGTATCAACCAAGTCAACGAGCCTGACCACCCGATCCCGTTAGTCGCCTTTTACGACAAGCATAGTTGCCTTTTACGGCAAGCATGGGTTGCTGAAGACCTATTCTTCACGTGAACGACAGGTGATGTCGGTAGGGCAGGACATACGTACACCTGGTGACGTCACAAATTTTCAGTGGTCCATGCCCAGTTGGTTCAGTACACGTGTTCGTCATCACTTGTGTGCTATTTGTTATTCTTACTGAATATTTGGCTTCATCCAATTATCGGTATGCTACTTGTTAAATATTACCGGTTGTCTGTTACCTTAATCATTATGTTGATCTGCTGCTTATCACATTTCATGCAGATATGGGGCGGTCGGGTAGCCTAGTGGTTAAAGCGTTCGCTCGTCACGCCGAAAAACCAGGTTCGATTCCCGACAATGTGTGAAGCCCATTTCTGGTGTCCCCCGCCGTGATATTGCAGGAATATTGCTAAAAGCGGCGTAAAACCATACTCACTCACCTACTTACTCACCAACTCCTAGAATGCCAATCCAAACCTTGTTAGGTGATTGTAGTTCTTCAGAACGAAGAATAGTTTCCAGTAGTATTTATACATGGAACATGTAGTCTTTGATGTCATCATTACATGTTCACCTAACAACGTAGTACAACTTACGCTGTGGACATAACATTATTAAACTATTTACAGTCCACCAATGTTAATATTCATATCTGCAATCTCACATCACATTTTCAAACATATATACTCAACTTTGCTGGTTTTTCTTTTGATGAACTGCGATGTTTTCCATTTGAACGTCAAATCTTGTTTCGTCATTATTGATGTTTAATATTACCTATGCATGTTCTAAAGAACATTAAGATCATTATCAACGATGCATAATGAATGTTGAATATCAGATATATTATCTCTTGTGAAGTGCTTTAATGTCGTGATCTGATGTCACTATCATTATTATCATTCATTATCTTTATTATTAAAGAAATATGAATTAAGTACCTTTGATGGAATTCTGCAACCTGTGGCAACATTGTTGCAAAACTCTTTGCGTCATATAAACAAGGTACATATACATATATCTGCTATGCTTTTTCTGAATATTTTATGTATGCCTTTGTTACTGAATCCGTATATTTTGAAGTTTTGTCACAAAATAAAAAATGATGATATTGTACTAAAAAAGACTTTAAGAGTAATGTATACCCTGTTCTAACACCTAGTTTCTTTGATGTTTAATGGATTGAGTGAGAGAGATTAGACTTCCTTTGATCCATTGTTAATATAGCACTCCTCTTATAAAATGTAATGAAACATCAGAAATATTGATAAATCTATTATATAAAAGCGACAATATCCTTTCCATATTCATAAGAAGTCGTACGATTTCGGCTACATCATGAGCATGTGTTTATGAATCACTGTCAAACAGCGATGACACGAGGTATTCGCGGAAATGTGGGCGTATCCTGCACCACCAGTAGCACCTGTCCAATGCCATTATGGCTATTGCTAGGATTTGTTTGGCAGGGGATTTGGATAGGTTTTATCTCATGTTGATGTGAAACACGCCTGTTAAGCATATAATTCTATGAACAAAAATAGCACAAACATTAATTTAAACAACTAAGAATTGAACGTCAGTTTCCATAGGTTCATTGAAGTGTGAACGATTTCAAAGCGGATGTGAACCTCCGAGCTTGCGACTTTCAATTCTTATAATTTCCTACTTTGTAGTTTATTGGTCCCACAGAATAATATCGTAACAATGTTTGCTTTAAGTTAAGTTCTGGCATTGTGGTCTTGGAGTTTATCTAAATGTTATTAATAAAGACATTTCTGCACATTTTACAGTGTGTAATCAACTTGATAATGTAGCTCATTTTTTATTGCATTGCCAAAAGAATGTTAATCAGCGTAAGGCAATGGTGGAGGCACTAACAGTTCTCAATATTGACTTCTCATTGTCTGGTATTTTGTTCTAGGAATATTGTTCACCATGATGTTCAGAATGTCATTCTCGCTTATATTAAAGCGTGTACGTGGCAGTTTTGATACTTTATAAAATATCCAGGTACTTAGCAAACCTGTATTATGGTCAAGGTGTAAATGGGCCAAGTTGCCCTAATACCTATAAAACATTTTACTAATCAATCTGGTTTCGTGGAAGAACATTGCAACAATGTTGTTTTGTCGGTATTTGCCGACTCTCGGTCACATACGTTTCCATTCGTCAGCACTCGCCCCTTTCCGTCACCACTCGCCCCTTTCCGTCACCACTCGCCCCTTTCCGTAACCTGCAAGAAGACTCACCCACAGGAGTCCGTATCTAAAAATAGACACCCTCATGCATATTCATGACCATCTCCACACGCGAGCCCGAGGGTGTCTATTTTTAGATACGGACTCCTGTGACTCACCCCCCCCTCGATGAATGTTATGTGCGAAAATACGAAAAACCAATCAGAATGGGCGTACGATTTCAAGTTCCTCGTCAAAGAATCCCTCAGAAATATTTCTTTTTTCTACATATGTCTTGCATCTAAAAATATACCCAAGACACAGCTAAATGTGGTCAATCATACTGTATAATTCCGCATGTCCCGATGTGATTTAAATTGCATCTGAAATATATATAATATATGGGGAAATATATGTTTACCATTAGGCAACAGGTACATCGTAAATATCTCCATTCTTTTACATATTACTAATTCACTACTGACTACAGCATGTTTTGAAATCTAAATTTCGGATATTTACTCAGAGAAATGAGTTTCAAAAATAGCATATTATAGTGATCACGAGTATCTGTCTTTTATGAAATCACCAATGATCATTCCGATAACCCTAGAATCCTTCAGGAATGTTTTGGAAAATACGCAAACACGAACGCCGAAGTGAACTTTCCGCCATATTGGATAGTGTTTACAAAATCGTGTTTCAGGTACACCGGTTATGAGGCGCCTGTAACATCACGTATATTTCAAACTTAGCTGCGATACACACATCCTTGAATTCCTCATACATTTTAAAATCAAATGGCCAATGGTCTTTGACACAAGTATGAAGTGGCTAGATGAAATCAAGCAAAATAAGACTTAGTTAGGTGTGAAAACGAACGCTGTGCTCGAAAAACTGCACTTGTTTGAAATGTAAACAAAGCAAAATACAGATTTTACACAGTGTAGCATTTTCTCCTATTTTGAACTAACCATTCGTCTGTTAATTTGTTCAAGATATTGGCTCAACATTTTCAAAATATGCATGGGAAGAGAATTAGGGAATTTAAAATAGATACATTGCAATGATTTGATATTTTCAGCAGAACTTGTCAAAGTTACCGTCCTGTGTGACGCCATGACTGACGCAAAATCACGCACAACGACAACGGTATTTATAGAATTTCTGACGATTTCGGTTTGTTTCCATGAAAGTTATAACAACAAATAACAGTACATAGATTGTCAGAATGTTTCTGATTACTTACATGCCACATTTATGTATATATGATCCCTGAATAAACGAAAGTCCACTCGTAAATCCCGCGTACTGTGGACCGTGAACACGCCATTTTGTAAAAGTCGGTCACAGATAGTGATGTCATACGTCAACATTGTTGTACATATTTGGTAATTTCTTTGAGGTGAAGGTCGTTGAATGAGAGTGCACATGATCATTGTGTCATGCTGTTTACAGTTTCAGTTATGATGTAGATTTTGCATATCTTTTATACATTTTTTCACACAATTAATTTCACTTTAGATATTTGTCAATGTTCAAAATGATATACGTAAATATAGGCCACAACATGTATGAACGAACCTTTGATAATCTCCTGTTTGTTTGAACATTGATTACAATAACAATTGATAGTTTTTTAGTGTCGAATACGATATTTCTTTCCTTTGGACAAGTGTTACAAGATGAACTGTAAATGCAACTGCAGCATATTTTTTGGGATGTGTAATAATCAATATATATTATAAGTTCATATAACCAATGTCCATAAATAGCCGTTTAATTTTATTTCATAAGTAAAACTGAATATAACAATTACTTTAACAAAATGGATAATATTTTTCGTTAAAATATATGCACACATTTCTGAAAGAATTGTCTTGGTCTTGGAAAATATTTTTATGTCGTTTGATACACAGAACAGTGATATCTAACGATTCGCAATTTAAGGTGCGCTGTTACGACGTAAATTGTAATAAAAAGGTAAATTGTAATACTTGCAGCAAATTGTAATAATTTTGACGTAAATTGTAATAACAACGTAAATTGTAATAATATTTGACGTAAAGAGGAAACACGGAAAACCTGTCAATTTCTTTATGTGTCATTTGACAAAAATGCCAAAACCTATAACAACAACATAGACGGAATGTACAGAAGTCTTGTTTGTTAGAGAAAAAGTTAAGAAAAGAAGGTAAACTTTGAAAAGTACGATTGCTGTCACAGTGTCGGAATGAATGACCCGACTTGACCCAGATATGAGAAGGCCGAAACCAGGAATGCCAAGAGAACCGGCGTTACAGTTTAATCCGGACAACAAGTTTAATGAACATCGTGTGTGATTTGAGACAAGTGTCACTGATGGGAAACATGTGCATGTGGGATTTCAGGAGGATTTGTCAAACGCGGAGTGGACACAGTCAGATGACGGGAGTTTGTTGATATTTTGATGTGATTCATAGGCTAATGGTCGAATACCTGTTGATAGACTAACACGGTATCTGGAGACTTGGTGCTAAGCTGCCCGCAGTCACGGAGTTCATTTAGTTCAATATCGGACACAGGATCAGCTCGCTGGGGTAAGTTTTCTTTTCCTTGTATTTTTAATTTTTTTTGTTTTGATTTCAAAACCTCTCCGAGTTCAGCAAAGTGCATCGATTTCGCAACCAGATGCTGGTAATCATGTCGCTAAGGTAACACTCTATGCTACCCTTGATCTCCTTCAAAGTAGACAGTTCGAATTCTGAACTGTCTGATGTGCATGCCGAAATGATAAATTTGCAAATAATAGTGTTTAGTTGCACCTTTCCTGTGTCATTAACCCTCATAGTCATATGGTCCCCGGACATCAGTCAGCCTGCAGACGTCGCGGTTACGAAAAACGTATACATGCATTGTATAAAAAAGTGTCACGTTCTTATTTCTTCACACAACATTACAAAATTGTACGAAATAGTGTATCTTTATGATATCTTTCGGAAAGTCTAAATGTTGTGGCAAAATGAATTTGTTTTTATTCTCATGCCATCGTTGAAAGTGTGAGTAGTCATATTTTTCGTGTTTTTCTTAGCTGTATACATTTGTGAACTAAGTTCATGTCAACTTGTCAAGTTTAGTCTTTTTCATTGTGTTTTTATTTTCATTGGCAGTTATCGATGTCGTCATCGTTCACAAAGGCAAACCTGTCTATACAAAGTCCGGTTTTTGGATTCGGGTGGTCGAAAAATTCATCAAACAGCAAGCCCTCTAACACAGACGCAAACCAGGACTTGGTGGTGATGATCTCGGCGCCCTAGAAACAGTTTCGGGCAACATCACAATCTGAATCTTGGAACTTCAATCTGG